GTTTTTTTGGGCTAAAAACGCCTTACTATATATGGTTGTTTTTTTCAGCCAAAAACGCCTTGCTATACATGGTCGTTTTTTTGGGCTAAAAACGCCCTAGTATACATAGTTGTTTTATTCAGCCAAAAGCACCTTACTATACATGGTTGGTTTTTTTCAGCCAAAAACGCCTAACTATACATGGTCGTTTTTTTCGGCCCAAAACGCCTAACTATACATGGTCGTTTTTTTCGGCCCAAAACGCCTAACTATACATGGTCGTTTTTTTCGGCCCAAAACGCCTAACTATACATGGTCGTTTTTTTCGGCCCAAAACGCCTAACTATACATGGTCGTTTTTTTCGGCCCAAAACGCCTAACTATACATGGTCGTTTTTTTCGGCCCAAAACGCCTAACTATACATGGTCGTTTTTTTCGGCCCAAAACGCCTAACTATACATGGTCGTTTTTTTCGGCCCAAAACGCCTAACTATACATGGTCGTTTTTTTCGGCCCAAAACGCCTAACTATACATGGTCGTTTTTTTCGGCCCAAAACGCCTAACTATACATGGTCGTTTTTTTCGGCCCAAAACGCCTAACTATACATGGTCGTTTTTTTCGGCCCAAAACGCCTAACTATACATGGTCGTTTTTTTCGGCCCAAAACGCCTAACTATACATGGTCGTTTTTTTCGGCCCAAAACGCCTAACTATACATGGTCGTTTTTTTCGGCCCAAAACGCCTAACTATACATGGTCGTTTTTTTCGGCCCAAAACGCCTAACTATACATGGTCGTTTTTTTCGGCCCAAAACGCCTAACTATACATGGTCGTTTTTTTCGGCCCAAAACGCCTAACTATACATGGTCGTTTTTTTCGGCCCAAAACGCCTAACTATACATGGTCGTTTTTTTCGGCCAAAAACACTTTACTATACATGGTCGTTTTTTTTTCGTTCTAAAACGCCTTACTATATACACGGTAATTTTTTTCAGCCCAAAATGCCTTCATATACATGGTCGTTTTTTTTCGGCCAAAAACGCCTTACTATACATGGTCATTTTTTTCAGCCCAAAAACGCCTTCATATACATGGTCGTTTTTTTCGGCCCAAAACGCCTAACTATACATGGTCATTTTTTTCGGCCCAAAACGCCTTCCTATATATGGTTGTTTTTTTTCGACCAAAAGCGCCTTACTATACATGGTTGTTTTTTTTTCAGACAAAAACGCCTAACTATACATGGTCGTTTTTTTCGGCCCAAAACACCTTCCTATACATGGTCATTATTTTCGGTTAAAAACGCCTTACGATACATGGTCGTTTTTTTTCGACCAAAAGCGCCTTACTATACATGGTTGTTTTTTTCGGCCCAAAACGCCTTACTATACATGGTCATTTTTTTTCAGCCCAAAACGCTTTACTATACATGGTCATTTTTTTCGTTCCAAAACGCCTTAGTATACATGGTTGTTTTTTTCGGCCCAAAACGCCTTCGAATGCATGGTCTTTTTTTGGCCAAAAACGCCTTACTATACATGGTCGTTTTTTTCGGCCAAAAATGTCTTACGATACATGATCGTTTTATTTCGGCCAAAAACGCCTTACTATACATGGTCGTTTATTTCGGCCAAAAACGCCTTACGATACATGGTCGTTTTTTTCGGCTAAAAAGGCCTTACTATACATGGTCATTTTTTCGGCCCAAAACGCCTTCGAATGCATGGTCTTTTTTTGGCCAAAAACGCCTTACGATACATGGTTGTTTTTTTTTGGGCCAAAAACGCCTTACTATACATGGTCGTTTTTTTCGGCCCAAAACGCCTTCCAATGCATGTTCGTTTTTTTCGGTTAAAAACGCCTTACTATAGATGGTCGTTTTTTTCAGCTAAAAACACCTGACTATACATGGTCGTTTTTTTCGTCTAAAAACGCTTTACGATACATGGTCGTTTTTTTGGGGTTAAAAGGCCATACTATACATGGTCGTTTTTTTTCGACTAAAAATGCCTTACTATACATGGTCGTTTTTTCGGCCCAAAACGCCTTCCAATGCATGGTCGTATTTTTCGGCGAAAAACACCTTACTATACATGGTTGGTTTTTTTCAGCCAAAAACGCCTAACTAAACAATGGTCGTTTTTTTCGGCCCAAAACGCCTTCCTATACATGGTCGTTTTTTTTGGCAAAAACATCTTACTATACATGGTCGTTATTTTCGGTTAAAAACGCCTTGCTGTACATGGTCGTTTTTTTTCAGCCAAAAACGGCTTTCTATACATGGTCATTTTTTTTCGGCCCAAAACGCTTTACTGTACATGGTCGTTTTTTTCATTCCAAAACGCTTTACTATACATGGTCGTTTTTTTTCGGCCAAAAACACCTTACTATACATGGTCATTTTTTTCAGCCCAAAATGCCTTCATATACATGGTTGGTTTTTTCGGCCAAAAACTCTTTGCTATACATGGTCGGTTCTTTTCAGCCAAAAATGCCTGACTATACATGGTCGTTTTTTTTTCGGCCAAAAACGCCTTCCTTTACATGGTCGTTTTTTTACCGCCCAAAACGCCTTCCTATACATGATCGTTTTTTTCGGCTAAAAACGCCTTATTATACATGGTCATTTTTTTCAGCCCAAAATGCCTTCATATACATGGTTGGTTTTTTCGGCCAAAAACGTCTTACGATACATGGTCGTTTTTTTCGGCCCAAAACGCCTTCCTATACATGATCGTTTTTTTCGGCCAAAAACGTCTTACGATACATGGTCGTTTTTTTCGGCCCAAAACGCCTTTCTGTACATGGTCGTTTTTTTCGGCCAAAAACGCCTAACTACACGTTTTTTTTCTCTCAACAATGTACTTTCTTTTTTATCCTTTATTTTTCAAATCAGCTCAATCAAAAAAAATTTTTTTAAACTAAATATACGGTTGATCTGAAAAGTCAACACACCCCTGTTCAAATATCAAGTTTTTGTGACATAAAAAAATGAGACCAAGTTTAAAACTTTTTCACTGGTCACTTCTATTAAAAAAAAAAGAAAAAAAAAAAGAAAAAAAAATATTGTCATCATGGTTTTAAATTTTTTATGACAATAATTATACTCCACCAAAATCTGTTACACAAAAGGTCGAACTGACAAGAAAAAGCATTAAACTTGTAAGAATAAAGTTTTTATATCAAAATGAAGTAAAATTAGGAGAAGAAAAGTCGCAGTTTTTAGGACTAGTTTCCGTGGACTATGTATGCTACATATTGCATTTTGGTGAGCGTGGGTCCCACACAATGGCCAGGCATCCCAATACTTTTGTCATCTCACGTAAAACACTGTGCTACGACTGTAGCAGGTTACGCCGACACACAACACGGTTTTCCACGTACACATTTATTATGAAGCTCACATAACAATAAGAAACAGATTTTTCGCACCGAATGATAATAAAATGAAAAAAAAAATGACGCAAATATTGTAGTCATCATATAATGGAGTATGTCACACAGACAGATCACATTACGCAACATTTCATTTGGTTTTGACAATAGAAAGTGCACACATTATTATCATGTCACACAAAAGACACAAGACGTGGGAAAAATACATACATACAAAGAGGCAGACTGAAAAACAGTTTCATAAATGTGTTTGATTGTTAGTTATTCCGACAAAAAGGCAAGCAGGCACTTGAGAGAAATTTGAATTTGCGACCAACAGAATGTTGTGTTGGTGTTGCATGGTCAAGAAATAAGAAAAGAGGATTTCGACTGAAACCCACAAAATAAATGCAGTGTATTATACTATAAGACTGAAGTTGTAATCCGAGGAGAATAAAGTTGGAACAAAAAAAAAGACTTGAGAATTTGAAGCAAGTGGCGACATTTCCACGTCGGCCTGAACACAACATTCTGAGGCAGACTTTTTTTTCCCCCGAACAACTTTAATTTGGCAATATCATGTTTCCAATGACTTTAAATCATAATATACATATTGGACACCCCATAAATGTAAACATTTTAAAAATGACAAAAATGGACATACGTGTTTTTCACAGGACAGCTACGATATAATAATAATATTATAATTATTATATTTTGAACTTTTTTTCAAGAGAAGAACAGCTACCAAGGCCCAACTCTGGCCTACATGTTAGAAATATTTTGATACTCCTGAGGATAAATCAACAGTTTTCTTGGTCCGGTGCGCTGAAGGGAAAAAAAAAACTCCAAATAAGTAATAATAATAAATAATAATAACAATGTATAATAACATATAAAATCATCTGCTCATCAATAATTATACAAACAATCTAAGAAAAGTAAATAAATTGCCTGCTCAATTAGTTCAACATTGAAAAGAGAAACAAATACCAAACAAAGTTATCTGCTACTCAATTACAGGTAATAAAATAAACCTCAATAACACAGACAAAAACAATCTGCCTTATACACAGACCAAAGAATAAAAATGAAGCACATAATTAATCAAACAAAACAAAATACCTGCTCAGTTAATTAAAAAAAAAAAGATTCACAATAAAACGCCCAAGTAAAAAAGTGGTGCAAAAATAAAGTACAGTACTTGCTTGATCAAGAAAATAGCAATAAAATAATGTTCAATCAGTTAAAGTTCAAGTGTGTGGTCCAAATGTCCGTATAAGCATCAATCAAGTGACAAGCACAGTCCAGATGATGACGACGACGGTGACGATGATCTCCTTTCATCGGAGTCGCTTGAACTGAATAAGACATTGAAGAGGGAAGTAGAGGGCATAGTGGGATCAAATCAAGTGAAAGAGGAGCACAAAGAGAGTGAAAAAAAAAAGATTCATACATTTTTCTATACAAGGAACGCCCGCTACATTGATCGAGGTTCATCTTCCGTGTGTGAGGTGGTGAGGTGATTCGTTTTGAATTGTCTTTTGTTTTTTGTTTTGTTTTTTTTTTTTGGGGGGGGGGGTCTTGTGCATTTTACATGATCGTAACGATTCATCAATACACTACTTTGAATGCCCCCTGGTGACTTGATGATGTGAAGTGTGCTCTCGCCATCTAGCGGTGGGGGTGTGAAGCGCACTCACATCTGCAATTTGAGCGTGTCTGAAGACAAAAAAAATTGATTCGCACCTCAAGGCACCGCTGTACTGAATAGTCATTTCTGTAACAGCTTTGTAATTGTGTACATGTTAGAGGCATGGTAATGATCCTTTGCTGATTCTTTTTTTTTTTTTGTCTGTGTTGCTTCGACAAGTTAATCATTTAAACTGAATTGCAGTCTCTGTTTTAAAGGCTTTGCCGCCATTTGCGGCATCTAAATGCAATTACAAAATCATTTTAGTGGGTATTCGATCATTCGCTGATGTTTGCAATTCGCAGGTGGGCACAATAGTGGGTGATCGAACTATGTGTGTGCCACAGAAAAACTGTTCTGACTTAAAAAGGCAAACAGATACACCATTTGGCTTGACCAAGAAGCCATATAGTATTTCAGTAGTCACAGGGGTTAAAAATTTAGAAGCCGGTGCTCAGGGTGTCCGTCTCCGTGGGGGTCTTACGAGGACTCGGTAGGCTCTTCAGATACTCCAGGTGCCGGCGAGCCTCGGCCTGGTTCTGCCTGACGTAGTAAACCACGTACACGATGACCATGAAGAACCACACGAACATGGTGACCAGCATGGCCACGTCGGTGGTCTTGCGCTGCAAACTGCAGAAGTTCACCCCCGAGTCCAGGATTCGGTCCAGAGGCTGACCGGCGTGCTCGCCCATCACGCCCGGTTCCTCCCAACGGCTGGCCTCGCCCAGCCCTCGCACTGAGCTCTCGCAGACGATTCCGTTGACCGTCTCGGCTTCCAGGTTGAGCGCCTCCATGAGTTCTTGGAGCGTACAGTCGCAGTGCCAGGGGTTGTGGTACAGGCGCGTCTTGGCCCGCGTGCCCCCGAACTCGTCCCGGCTGGCCTGCCTCAGCTGATTGTGCGACAGGTCCAGAAGGCGCAACTCAGGACCCAGCCGGCGCAGGGCCCCCGAAGACAGCGAGTCGATGCGGTTGTGCGCCAGGTAGAGGTCCCGCAGATGGGCCAGCTCCACGAAAGCGCTCTCGGGGAGGCTCCGGATATTGTTGCGCTCCAAGTGCAGCGACAAGAGAGAGAGAGAGAGAGAGAGAGAGAGAGAGAGAGAGAGACCAGATAGAACATAAATTAATTGTAAAAAATACTGTCAAATTTTACTCTCACAAAGTCACAACTTTCTCTCTCATATCTAATCTAGCTATACCTCTACCGATACTGCATATGTATGCTAATATTGTGAGATCATGACTTGTTCTTTTTGCGCACAGGTGTCAAAGTCACAGCCCGGGGGCCATCTCTGGCCCGCCACATCATTTTATTTGGCGTTTTTTTTCAGCCAAAAACGCCTTACTATACATGGTTGTTTTTTTCGGCCAAAAACGCCTTACTATACATTGTCGTTTTTTCGGCCAAAAACGCCCTACGCCATGTTCGGTCTTTATGGTTTCACAAAATTCAGAGTCATAATGGCCCTCCAAGGGAAGCCGTCACTACAATGTGGCCCGCAACAAAAATGAGTTTGGCACCCTTATTTTAGCGGATGCATTTTCTGGCCAATAAGGGTGTGCCAGGCATGTCACCAGCCAGCCAGAGGGACGGACAGACTCACCTGGGGGTCTTCTTGTGTTCGAGGTCTGCTCCATGGTCGCTGTTGCGGAACTGGGCACATGGCCTCGGTGTAGGCCCCCGATACGCACCTCCACTCGGACGTCACCGCCGCCGTCTGACACATTGAGGAGAAAAGGGCTCACTTTGTGGCACAGGACTAACACATGCTTCGAAATGACCTTTTGGAGGCCGCACTATTATTGAGGCGGACAGCAATAAAAGGGCATTCGCTGTGTGTCACTTTCGGAGCAAGCCACCTTATTTTCCAGACCGGTTTCATCTTATCACACGCGATCGCTGTGTATTATTTAAATCTCTGGGCTCTCTGCTGGCCATTTGAGTTGCAACCATTTGAACTGCAAATGGAATGAAACGTCAACTTGTTTTCATTTCCCACCTCAGCCTTTTCACTTTATCAGTAATCCGAGGCAATCAGTATGACGTGAACCAGCCACACTGTTACGTCACAATCCGGCAAAATTCCGAATGGCTCGCTCATCAAAACAATTTCAGGAAAATGAAGAATGACTTCGTTGTGTAATTTCAAACGATGGTTGGACAGGCAGTCCAGAGACTATTTGTATACAAGTCTTTAAGGGCAAGCCCTTGTATGTTTGAAAATTCATCCGTCTATCCATTTTCTAATCCGCTTATCCTCATGTTTGAAAATTAACATTTTAAATAAATATTAAGCACAGAACTAAATCACTAGCGCAATCTATAAAATCACAATCAACAAATCAAATATTAAATAAATACCAATGACATTAAAAAAAAAGTTATTCTAGTACAAATGGAAGTGCCACACTGAGTGTTTGTTCTCTTGAAAGTTTTAAAAAAATTTAATTTGGAAAAAAAAAACTCCAATCATAAAATACAACAAAAAACTGTCATAGTTCTATTCAAGGCTTTTTGAAATAAAAAGAGAAAATAATTAACCTGCTCAATTCAAAAGTGCCAATTAAAAATAACATTCAGGGTCAAGGTTCCTTCCTTCCATGTCGCGCTTGATTGGCTCTCTTCAATGTGTTGGGAGCATGACATAACAATTTTTGTAAACTGAATCAAACAGATTGGGGAACTGTTGTTCAAACAGCACATGTTTAATTGGCGAATGTAAATCCGCAAACACGATTCATCCGGGCTCCTTTCCCTGACTGGCTTTTCACGCGGAATAAAAGAATCCTATTACGCCCTTATATAGCTCTGTTTATCTTCCCATCATGCCCCAGCCCCTTCATCATATTTCACGGCGGTGCCGCTGCATATTACACGTGCGTCGTGAGGATGAAGGTTAGGAAAAAGTGGGTGGGGTTGATGTGTAAGTAAGGCCCGGCGCGCTATTAACAACGAGAACATCAATCCAGCTGGAGTCTCACGACGTCGATAAGAGACACGGCGCCAACAAGGAGGCCAACCTTGGCCAAGGGGGAGCGGCTGCTGTGATCCCTTTTGCACTTTAAAACACTAAAATTAAACAAAACGTGTCGAAACGGTGACTCACACTAAGGAAGGATGGAAAATTACGTGACTGTGCATTTCAAAATTGGAATCATTTTGCTTTCAGTGTGAGTGGGAGAAAAAAAAACACATCAATACTTTTTTAAAATTCCAATATTTTGTATTCAACTTTTGAGGGCAAAGAGTCTATTAAAGGGGAAGTCAAGTTAATTAATATTGCATTTGGGGGGTTAGATTTAAGCAGCAAAATCCATTTTAGCTTGATCTGCCACTTGCTGTTGACATCAAATAGCCCAAGACAATGTCTCAAACTCAAGGCCTGGGGGCCAGATCCGGCCCGCCACATCATTTCATGTGCACTTTGATGTCATCGTCAGTCGACGGCAAAAGGCAAAATGGCCGCCACCTGAGATGGATGAAAACAGGTGGATTTTTGTGTTTAATTCATTAAAAAAAACACAATATTAATCAGAAGACGGTGTTTTGACTTAGTGGGGGCACATCGAACAAATTATTGTAAAGAACATTTTTGACTTGACTTCTCCTTTCACATAGAAATCATTCATCATCCGAACCACTTGTCCTCATGAGGGTCAAATTAAATAGAATTTGTTTTAAATTAAAGTAAACTAAAATCATATCAAAAATCCTACTTTCCAGCTCACGATGATAGATTCAAAATATCATTCAAAGCAAGGCAGAATGAAAATAATTCTGAAGCGTTTTCTGTACAGAGCTATGGAGTTTAAATATAAAAATGAAAAATAAAAACAGAAATATAAGCCAAAAAAATTGTTTTCCATGATCATATATGGAAGTCTATATTTTTAAAATACATTTAAAAATACCACTTTTAGAAGGAGGGGCACTAAAAACTCAAAATACAAATAATGAATAATTTTCACATGCAGTATTACATATATATATATATATACCGGTATATATGGAAATATTTTTTTAAATACATAAAAATATATTAAAAATAATACCGCTTTTCAAAGGAGGGCCACTAAAAACTCAAAATGTCAATTTAAATCAAAATAAAACTAATGAAGATAAAATTCCACTTTCTCTGATCATGGGCAGACAGGGAATAAAATAATTTCAGGGAGTTATTAAATAAAAACCAATTTCTACTTTGGGATTGAATTGCAGCAAAACAGCAAAAACAGATAAAACCATTTTGCTTCATGAAGAATGACAACACCAAGTATCATTTGTATTCTGGGGCATGGGAATATTGTGGCTCGAACTAAAATTTTAATCCGGATTTGCAGAGTACTGTAATTATCATTTGCAGCTGCCAAATGTTTCTTGTTGATACATTTTGTTCCCATTCAAAATCTTTTGTCGACGTTGCGGGGAAAGAAGTCCATTGCGAAGGCTTGCTATGGAAGCTTAGTGTAAGACAAAATCACTCCTCGGGCTTTGTCCAAATTCATAGGCTGCGTCCTCCGAAGGCCGCATTTTCGGCCGCCTAACGTCACTTTGGGCGCAATTCGACCGCATGTGATTTCCAAATTCTAGAAAGACAATTTGTAGGTTGGGTCCTTCGATACTTTGTAAGGCTTTCCCTCATGTAGCCTCTGCTGAACACATCAACCATGGCACATTTGGACAGGCTTAATGTCTTCATGTAAAATTTTAAACCACGTGCGGTCGAGGCATGCCGCAAGAGACATCATGCGGCCAAAAAAATGTGGCTTGGATTTGGACACAGCCAGAGTGTGTTGAGCCAAAGCACATGAATTGACTTGTGAACCCCTGCTAGCTTAATGCTCACACACAATACAAAACACCATTGACTAGCTAACCAAAACAGCGTCAACGTTGAGCTAATCATAAACTTTTACACAAATTCTATTGTAATACAAGCAGTAACATATGTACAATACACACAGACATATTATTTATCCTCTCTGAAAAAGAGTTTCACGTTTGAACCTGTGTAGTATACGTATCTTTATGGATTTTACTGCCCCCCTGATCGCCAAGGCAGACACACCAGATTGAGCCACACAATATCGAATTACCGCGATGCAAAAAGAGTTTACTATTAGATTATGTTATTACTTTATGTTTATATAAAACATTACCCAAAATTTCAGAAGCATTTTTTTTTTTTTTGTGTGGTACAAAATCGGATTAATGCCATTTTCATTAATCTCAATGGGGTGAGATGATTTAAGATAGCAGCGGAACAAATTAAATTCCAAAGTCAGGGCACCGCTCTGTCTGGTTCTTGTTATGATATGCTGTATGTTGTTCTTAACTCATTTCATCTCCGCCACTGCAATCACCTGCTTATAGTTCACCGATAATGAAATATTGTTAGAAAAAAACATCAACATCATCAATTTTACTTCCAATTGAATTGTCTGCAATTTACATATTGGACAAGGAGAATGCAAATCAACGGCAAACCATCATGATCTGCTCTTTGCATGATAATAGAAATGTGGTGTGGGACACAAAGCAGAGACTTGACACATTTACACTTTTCCTTTCCCTCTTCTCCAATTAGTTCTTGGACTACATGGCACACACACAAAAAAAACATTCAGTCTATGTACATGATTAGCATTTCAATCACATGAAGCAGTTTAATCGGAACAGTGAAAGCAATTAATGAGATATTGGACAAACTATACATGGATAAACTTACGTGTCAATGTGTTCCTCTGAAGTTTGTCGTTAAATTTTCTCAAATCCTTTTAAGGGATATTCAGGTCAGTTTTAACCAAAGCTGACTCAACGTCGTTTTCGGTAGTGCACACAAAAAAATGTAAATTAATTTTAACATCTACTCTGCTGTGCCTGTGAGGCGAGCATCAGTGACTGAAGTGAAAGCAAGGGACAGCTTGTAATAAAGAGGAGTGGGCGTGTCTCTGTCTCTCGAACACACACACTTGTTCTCCTCTCCCTTTCTCTCCCGAGGAGCATCTCACGTGTCATCATCCTCGCGGACCCGTCATGTGAATGACTATATTATTTTCTTAT